AAATAAATCAAGATTTCAGGTCAACCTGTGTTTAGGAATAAGTCTTTGGGTTGAGAAGCCCAAAGACTAGTAGGGGACTTTAGGAGGGGGAACTTTTAGCACTGGTTGCTTTCATTTTGTTTCCAAAACAAGAGYTGTTAAAACATCCAACCCTGTCCTCTCTCAGACTCAGTGCAATCACATTCACACAAGTGGATTGCTTGGACTGTTTGGAGAACTAGAAGACTATTTCTCAAATAAAAATATTTGTTCCCAACTCAACTTAAAAATATCTAATTTTATGTTGAAGGTCACTTTAACTGTCTCTTTAGAAAGCAATATTATTTTATTCCTTATTTTAAAAATAACATAACATGATTTATACTGAATGTTTATGCTTATTGCTTCAATGTCGGACTTCAGGTTAGGAAAAGGCAAATCATTTTCTACTTATTTTTTCCACCAATAGGTGGCGGATGAARCTCTAGAAATTTCTTCACTTGATAGAGCATGAAATAAGAACATGTATAATTTGCAAGTATATAGCCATCTATAAATGAGACCTCTCTGGTATCTCTTCAGATGTGATCAGGATTTTGCAAGCTCATGCATCTTGCATTATAAATTTTAGTCCAGGTTTAGGGATAGCTACTTTTAGTATTTGAGACTGTCTATTCTTATTTATTTTGCCCTACAACATTAGGTCAAACTGAAGTTTGCACACTTTGCCCTTCTGTGTTGGTTAGGAAGGTATGTGTCAGCATGGTGCAGCAGCTCCTAGATTCATTCAGGGTTTTAGGACTGAGCTTACTGTAATTAAATAAGAAAGCTTTACATTCATACCTGTGTCAAAAATACATACTAGTTGCAAGCTGAAAGAGCACAGCTTTAAGCTCAAACTGTTTTACAGTTCCACAAAAACTAGAAACACTCAAGGCGAGAAAAAGCACTGCAGTTTGATGGCAGAAAGAGCCTACCAGTGYTAAAACTAGTTTTAACAGACCACTATAGGGGTGATCAGAATGTGACACCATAAATTCTTCATATACAACACTTTTTCAAAAAAAAAAAAATCATGGCTCTTTTCTAAGACATAGAGCAGGCATTGGATCTTGTTTACATACAAGCCAGGTACAATGCTTAAAGTCAAAATGAAGYGGTACAAGAAGATAGGGATTTTCTTCTGTACACATTATATTGATTTTAAGGGCAGCATATAAYGCTTGGTAACCAATGAATAGTAGGTTTTACTTGAAAATGATAAAATTGTGCATAAGGTAAAAAWTCCATAAACAATATGCCATGAGGAATGCAGCCCAGAAAACAGTACCTTTCATTTCTATGTAACATGCAYGACTCAATATGCATTATTTCTCCTGCAAAATGATTTCCTGAAGTCAGCGTGCCTCCCAACTATCCTGCTGTTATTGGCACTCTAGATATCAATGACTAAGTGACCACTAGAGCTCAGTCAGCTCTTGTGTACATCGCACTGGCTCCTCAAGGCTGACACAGTAGACAAATTTGCTTCCTCTGATCCCTGTGGGGCAGCCTGGATTAATTCTATTAATCCAGTTCATTCACTAATCCCTCCATTTTTATGAAATAATGTAATTTCGTGAGCTGCACTTCTCACTGTAATTCTCAGCGTGTATTGGATTTTCCACATTATGGGCAACAGCAGCCAAAACACGGATATAACCCAAGGCTGTCAAGAAGCTTCAAGAATTAGATGGTGAACAGTGAAGATCAGGCAGCTGAGTCTCGGGCTATTAATCACTCTCTGCCACTAATGTTACAGAAGAAAAGGGAGGAAGATGTCAGAAGTGGCTTCAAATTAATAGTTCTTGAACAATCAGGGGAGGCATTGCTGCATATATCATTATCAGAGAAAGTTGATTTTMGATGTCTTTAGATGACACAGGGAAGCCAGCTGCTTGAGTGTTCCTCTGCAGGATGAACCAGCTGTACAGACACCTAAACTCCTAATCCTGTCACCTCTGGTAAATGTCCTAAATTAGGCAGTATGAGAAACTCCTGTAGATATTGCCCCTGTCACTGAATATGAAACAAATATGAGTACGATTAACAAGGGCCATATCATAGCGGGTAAAATCAACACCCTATCAGTGACTTTACAAAGCCAAGCTGTAAATGATCTTGACCCTCCAATGACAGCAGATGTAGTCACAACAGAATTATTACTTTATCACAGTAGTTTGAAATGAAATATTTCCCCTGGCTTGCTTTTGTTTGGGGCCTCTCCCCCTTACAAATAAACCTTTCATTCAGACAATCTGCTGAAAGTGAAACTGCAGGGAAAGGTCTGTAAACAGTGAGGGCTCTTTAGAGCACAAGCTGACCTTTGGAGACGTGGAGCAAAGCAGAAGGGGTGATTGATGCTCTGCAGGACATGYTCTCTGAATTATCCAAACCAAAAAGTTATGGAAAGTTGATTTCTCAGCATACAGCCTGAGAAATTCTGTCAATGGGTGGTTGAATAGGGAAAGGAAAAGGATGATAAGGTATAGTTTTAGGGGGGAACCTCAAAGCCTGAATTCTCAGCTGAGAAAAGGCAACTGTAACACTGACATTTATTACATGGAAGCAAAACACCAAGCCATGTAACCTAGGTCAGCTGTTAAGGTCTCCATGACTGATTTTCAAAAATATTACAGCAAATATAAATCTTGCTGTAATATTTTTGCTGTAATATAAATCTTATTGAATTATTTTTGAAAATTCTAAAAAACCCATCATTCTAAAAAGGTTCAGATCTTGCTGTAGCATTTTTTTTTTTAGAATAATAAATATGCTAGGAAATTCTACTGGACAATTACTTGAAGTTGAACCACAATCATGTTATTTATATCAAAAAGGTCACTGCAATCTATGCATTTCAGTCTGTGGGTATGCCTTGCCAACCCAAACTACAGGCAAAGGCTGCAGACCTTTGATTCCTGCACTTCCTTCCTCTTGCAGCCTTGGATTTTCCCTTTTCCCTAGAAAGGTATGAGGAGGTCTTTTAAGACACCTCAGTAGAAAGGTGGGGGTGTCTTAACTGTATTTATTCTCTTTTTCTCATTTTCTAGAACTGGATGTCTTCACTCTCTGGCACTTTAAAGCGATCCCAGGTAAACCCTCCCATTTCAGCAGACACTTCTCAGTCTGGGAAGGTGTTTTGGGAGCCCAAGCAGGCCAGTCCCTCCTACACAGCAGAAGCAGCAGCCCTTCCGCTGGACTTGCTGGTGCTGCTGCACAGCTTCAGTGCTCCAGCAGACGCTGGGARGCCCCTTGCAGCTTCAACAAAACCCCAGTGACACAGGGACTGCCCAGCTGTGCCAGGCTGAACGGCAGGGAGCAGCTGGGGCAGTGGGCACACGGTGGGCACTAACCTCACCATCAGGTGCAGCAACATCAAGGGCCCTCAAGAACTCCGGGAGTCTCACACTTGTCCTCGCAGGAGGAGCCTCCATCCCCAAACTGCAGCCTATTGGCAGCACTCCTGGGGGCTCACGAGCAACTCCTGTGTCCACTGTCCTGCCCCAAACCCGTCTTTCCCTCTGCAGCAACAGGCACAGCACACCCYGTGCCCATGCGGCAGGCTATTCCTGGACTTGCAGGGAGCATGCCAGGAATGCTAAGCACTTTCCTAATAAGCATGGTTGAGCACGCCAATTAACAACCAAATCTAAAGACCAGGTCTCCACGGAAGCTGAACTCACCTAAAAGATGAGCCTCCCGGGCTCCACTCATATAGTCTGTTAGCAGATTTGCAAGAGGAACCCTTATTTTACCTCTATATTTTCCTCATCCTTTTCCTGGTTTCTGGGGCTACCTTGTGCATGCTGAGGGCAGCCTGTGGCAGGACCACGTGTGGGCACCCAGAGCACTGACCCCAGCTCTCCCAGGCYGTGCTCCAGGCTCATGCCTTGACCTGCCTCAAAAGGTAGAGCTGGGCAGTCATGTCCCATCTGCACCTGCACTGCCAAAAAACCACGGAGAGACTAGGAAGGGGTTAGGTTTATAACAGGGGGGACACTGCTATAGCCTCACGAGGGAAGCCACGCCACCCACCTGGCAGTGATAGGGCACACGCAGTTATTTACAGCCTGGGATCATTCTGTGTCGAGGCAAGAGTTACATCCCACAACACCTTTCCAGGACTGTAAGCCAGGATCTAATCACTCAGCGAAAGCAGTGTCCAGCATTGAAGTGCTTTAATACTAAAATATCTACTCCAAAAATGCAGCACGYTCTCTGTTCTATGTTATGTTTGTTTTAAAAACAGTTCCTAGAAGACAGCAAAAGCACTACTTGGCGTTTGAGCTATTTATGACGCAGGATAACTCGGAGAAAGTTCAGGATTATACTGCGATCCTTCAAATAATCCATTGGAAATCTGAGATAATAGCCCGAGATCACTGAAATCAAGAGGCACTTTGACCTCAGTGGGACTAGCGTTTCTCCTCCACTTTTAAGCAAACCCATAAATCATGTACTTCTAAAAAAAATAAGTTAATAATCAACATGTCACAGACTATTTTTTCCTTAAGCTGAAGCAAGGCACACTGCTAATGAAACAGGAGAGTGCAGGTACACGGCCTCGGGATGGCTGCTGGGTGAGGCCAATTGAACAAAATGTGAGGAAAAGAAGRGACTTTCCAGACAACTCCCTAAGCAAATCTAGGACTGCATTAGGAATCAATGTTAAAGGGGCAGAAGAGGTTGGTGAAACCAGTGCAAGGCATAAAGAGATCCACATAACAGAGAGAAATGAGAAGTCATCTGAGAATACAAAACTGCATTCAAAATCCCACCCATAATATTTCTGAAGGTGCATTGATTTTCAGAGATGCTAAGTTAAGTTTCACAGGTGCTCAGGACCACTGAATATCAAGGCRAACTTTCTTGATTCCTTTGTACTATCCAACACAATGCACAGTAGCCCATTTGCTCTAGCTGCAGATAAATCATTGTAAACTCTCACATTTTTCTCATTGCAAACTGAAATTATTTACCATAGGAGTGGCCTCTGTGAAATCCATCAGTAGGTCACCTGGCTCCAAAGCAAATGTACTTCCAGCYTCTGTGGAACTCTACGGGCAAAGAAGAAATTGAAGTTTTGAATTGAACTGAGAACAGTTTCTGTGTTTCTCTGTCTTTTTAAATTCCTCAAAATAGAGATTGCGAAGTAGAGTTCAGATTTCACACAACTTTTCTTAAACAGAGCTTCTCATAAAGAGACAGACAAAAAATTAGACACCTTTACAACTGAGGTAAATATTAATTTAATCCTGGTCTACACTCCCCTAACATCGATGAAACGGCTCTTATTGATCCGGATTGTGCCTCGGAGCATCCTGGCTGCTGCACTTACACTACACCTTAACATATTACCACAACCCAGCACTAAAAACTACTCCCAAACATGAATCACTGTCTAGCAGCAGGATGCCACCTGAAATTCCCCTCACCCTTCCTGAATGCTCTCCCACCCGACAGGATCTCCCTTCTGGGCGTATTACCTTGGCACCAGGCGAAACCTGTGCTTGCCCTTCCGACGTCTGCGGCGTGCACGTTTTCTGGGAGCTGGGAGATGTTGAAGACACAGATGTAGATGCTGCCGCTGCTGCCAGGGCGGGAGGAAGGTCGTCTTCATCACTGCAGTTGTTAAAAGCACAGGCAGATCTTCCCGTTAAAACACGTTACCCGACTTTGACCACAGAGGATGCTGGAAACCTGTATGTCAGTGTGGTGCTTTGCAGTCAAGTGCTGTTTACTCTTGCATGCAGAAAGCAATATTGACAGCTAACTTTGCAACATTTGGTGTGTATGTGTGTGTATTTGTAATATAAAATATATATATTTTTAACTTTAGGAATTTGTTGCAAGTTGATGGGCTAGTTAACTCTCAACTGCAAAAGGAAATCTTATGAATATGATGGGTAAGAAATATCGCTATGAAGCATRTATATACAAATACATGAAACTTAGCTGGTAGCACTTTGCTTCTCATGTTTATATTCTTTCTTATGGAAGCTAGCTCTAGTGACAAGAAAAGTCTGGTTAGAGTCCTCCAYGTAACCAACTGCTTCAGTGGCCTTATGGCAAGGGGGAGATTTAGCCCCTATTATGAGGCTGTTCCAGGCTTTTGTTTTCAAATTGGCCTTGAAGTACTGAAATCCTCACCAACTACAAATAACTGTTAACAAATTAGTTGCACARAGCTAAACAGAGCAAAAATTTGGCCCCCAGAATCTTTAATACTAGGAAGCATGTGTGAAAAGGAAAGGATACAGCCTGACAGTTTACAGTACTGGGAAGACCTATTTTTTTTCCTGTAATAAAAATGTGCAAATCTAACTACCAATAACTTCTAAGAAGAAAGATTCCTTCAGAGATTTGAACAAAATTTTCTTCAGAGAAGAAAAGCAGGTTTCTTGAAAACAATATGCTGTTTTCATGTTGGAAAAAAAAAATGTAAACTCTTGCGGGCCTGTTAAATAGGTGCTTTATGAATGCAACAAGCTACATCTGAGCTGTTGACCTATTTAATCTCTTTTTCTAAAATATATAGCTGGCATTTCTTCTCTCCTTGCTCCTCTCTCTGTGGGAATACACTGGCATCCTCCCCATGCTTGCTGGGTAAACCTGTTCTGTTGCAGACGACGAAGCAGAAAATGGTTGAGAACTTGCCAGTTCAGAAAGGCATGGTAATCTCTTGGTCCCAAAGGTGAGTGTCAAAGCGAGAGCGCAGGCTTAACCAGGTAACAAGCTGTCAGCACGCTAGCTATAAGCCTGAGCACTAGGCTTCTTCACTGATTCTCTGCATTTCTCATAGGCACTGAGTTCAGACAGAAAGGTATTCCTTGCATCAAAATTGCTTATGTTAGATAACCCCCTTCTTCTTGTTTGCCAGGCACCAGAATTTTAGTCAAATAACTTGCCTGTGTTAAAACCCAGTATCATTTTTTTTCTGAAGTATGCATATGAAATCTGCGACCATGCTTACATGGATTTCATGCCTATCCTTACAGATGAGTCTACTCAAAAAACAGGATCAGCCATTGTGGTCTGTTTAATATCTGTTACATAAATAGCATCTCAAATAAGCAGTCATCTCAAGCCTCTCAGAAAAGCCTTTTCCTTTGTGCAACCCTATCTACAAGGCCCTCATCTCCCACGTTATATATCAAGATCTAAAAAATCAACTTGAAATATATACTGGACTTTCCCTCCCTCCTGCCTCAGCCACACTAAGCAGTGCGGATGAGCAGCCTCTTGCCCTTGAGAAACTGCTCCTACCAAACATTGTCCAGCTCCCTGCCGCTCCATTATCTTTACCATGAGGGCGCAGGGAGGGAAGCTGGGCTCTCTCCCTAGCAGGAGTTGTCAGTTCTCATCTCCTCTCTCATTTTCAAGGCACGCTGGTTGATGTGTCACAGTAAAAGAGACCGTGTCGTGGCCCACTGACCAAGCTGTGCCTGGGTGTTCCCATATGTTACCCTTGGTCTCCTGGACAAATACCAGTTTGGCTCATTTCTGGTTTTCTTCAGAGCTTCAAACTGATTGGTTCAGTTTATTTCCCTAAAGTGTTTTTCAGTTTTACGGATGTAAATCGTTATGTTTGTTCCACCCCTAAAGCAAACATTCTTAATAGGGAGAGAAGATATAACTATGTATTGGTATTTATTAGCATTATATTGATGAAAGGAAAGCTTTTGCTAATACTGCTGTATATTTGGTAACACCCAAATGCAAAAGTGCTGGAGGGGCTAGTGGTTGCATGCCACATAAAAACCATACATACTTTTTTGCTCATTATGGCAATAGTGCTCTTATATTGATAATTTTATGCTAATAGTGTCCCTTCCTTACTTTTTCACTCAGTTGAAATCCTTAGTATTCGATGGCCTTTATTTGCCATTTTTACATGAAGGACAAACACATTGATTTCCACAACTCTTCAGCACCTCCAGAGACTCCCAAACCAGATGAATCTGGCACAAACGGGCTTTGGAAGGACAGGTCTATCTCACTGRGACCAGGAGACCACATAATAACATTGGGATTGTTCCCCTTATTTTTCAAAGGGGACTGCAGTGAAGCAGGCAAGCTGACTTGCTCCGAGATGCACCAAGTCTTTGACATTTCATACAGAAGAGGGACTTTTAACTCCTAACCTGTAGTTAACCTTGGAAAAAGGCCAGCAATTCTAGAGCATTAGTAACCATAWAGGGATGGCAAATTCATTAAGCATTAAATGTGTTAAGATTCTCAAAGATGAAAGCAACTGTATCAGTGCAAGATCATTATCATGTAATTGCACTCACGCCTTTCAGAAGTCGTAGCTAGAGCAATAATTAGCACTCCCCTTCATTTTCAGCTGCAGCAGGCAAAAACATGCAGATAGTGCTGTAGGTTACTCACAAGCTGTACTGTCGCGTTAACTTCCTCACGCGGGAAACTTTGATTTCCTGCTTTTCCGGAGGGCCAGTTGACGATGCAGGTTCGGGTCGCACTGGAGCTGGACTTCTAAAAATAACAGGAAAAATATATGTGGCACAATCTTTAAACTACCTGAGGCATGTCAACAAMGTGGTAGCTCATCGACACATGTTTATTTTGCAAATTGGCACGTGCCTGTTGAAGTTCAACCTGTTGTCCCATTTATAGGCCACAGGCCACCGTGCATGGACAGAACAGGACATGTGAATTCAGCCTTCCATGCACTGCATGGCATCTAAWGAAGTGACAGATGATTATAAATATGCAGCCTGGGTAAGATAATGTGTGGAAACATCACTATTTCCAAATTACAGCATTTTAATAGTGGCTTAGCAATTCAGTCACATTAAAAATATTTTGACAAAACAAAACAAAAAACTCTTATCAAAACCTATTTTTATAAACTGGGAAGCCTATTCTGTTTAAAGTATCGTTTTTACTTGAAATTAAATATTATCCTTCAGCATATGAAACGGCAGCTCAATGGAAATGAACTAACRGATTTGATCCAAGAAAAGGATACTTGCTAGAAACAAATGCAAAACAGAGACGTATTTCAGATGCTCTGAATGTGATGCACATCTGCAAAATTCCAGCCAAGGGCAGAAATGGGAATGAGAAGACCAGTCTAAAAAGAGCTTCTTTTTAACCACTTAGCATCAGAATTAGGTAAGGCTGGAATACAAATAGCACAAAGCATAAAATCTTCATGACCTTGTGGAGAAAACGTGCCAATGGTCTGCTTAAGTGGCATGAAGTGACATGAAAATACACAAATTATCTTAAGTACTACTTCTATGTTTTAGGATTGAAAATGTCCTATGTGTATAAGGCAACACTATACATAGTGCAAATATGTCAGAATTAAAGAGTTAATGTAAATGTGTTGATGCATAATCTGAGCTGTATTCTGCCATCCCATCCAAAGTACTCTGTTGGTACTGGAGTAGTCCTATGGCTTGCCAGTGGAACTACCTATACACTGAGAAGAAATCAGAAGAAACAGCAGAACTTTGTCCCAAAATTACAAATTGGGGTTGAAATTTTCAGATCTGCTTGCATCATGACAGCTTTCTAAACCCACATTAAAGTTAAGCACATCTGATTTTCAAAATTTCATGCTCTCTCTGATGCCCGTGTAGGATCTAGCAAAGTGGAGTCATCTCTGATGCCTTTTGAACCTGCTGCCCAGTTACAACCAGAAGCTATTGGGGCAGCACAGCCTGTGGACTATTCCTGTGTCATTTGTAGTCTACGTGCTGGTGAGAGAAGACACACACAAATTGGTGCCCTCACTGAAAAGAAATGTGGTCAACCTTGGGCATCACTCGCCTCTGCTTGGTAGTAAATGACCCACAAACACATGTGGTGCTGCAAGACTAGCTACACAAGACAGGGTTTGTTTTGGACCTCAGGGATACCAGAAGGAGAAATGGGGAAAAAAAGAGAATACAAAGCACATATCTAAATGACAAACCAGGCTACACAGGTTCCACTGATCATGGAACCTCATGTTTTTTTCCTTTTGATCCCATTAATTCAATAAACAAATACAGATAGGCGCAAAATTTGTATCTCATCTCTTCCTGAATTCCAATTTTAGCATTGATCATTTTTAATCTCAGATTCACAATGAGATTAGCACAGAATAATCCTGCCTGATTTTCAGTCTCTTTGCTACATTTCTTTGTCCAGCAATTACAGTGAGGATGGGGAAGGAAAAAACCCCAAATCATCTTGTTTTCATCTTTAGGCCTGTATATCTGATCTGGAAATCTCTAAATCAACATGAAGATGGAAGTCCCCAATATCAATTTATTCAAGTCATGATTCTGAAGAGATGAGTGCTCTAGATACTCTTTTTTAAGACATCTTGTCCTAAAGCAAAAGCAGCTTCTGACAAGTGAAAAAAAAAATCACTACTTCAATTGGCCCTAAGGAATTTTCTATCCAAGTTCTGACATAAGTAGGATAAATATGTTAAGACCTGCTTAATGATTGGATTTGATGGTCAAATCCTCAAGGGGTGTGTGAATGTGTGCAATCCCACTGCTTTCAGCGCAGGATTTTCAAAATACTTCAGCTGAAATCCTTGCTCTGAATGAGCAGCCCTCACAATCCTTCAGTAGTTCACTAAGAAAAGTTACAGATTTTAAAACTTTTCATCAACCCAGTAAAAGCAGGAAAAAAAAATAGTGGCATCAGCTACAAAGTGAGCTGCAAAGTGTAAACTCAGGGCATATATATGAGCAATGCACTAGTACTTGAAAGGTACATAGCAGAGAACAGCAAAGCTGGTGACAAATGCATTTTCAGTCCATCGCTTTTTCTAATTTCTGGACAACATTATGGTCTGTAATGAAAGTAAATGGGGTCTCTTCACAGAAATGAACTTTCTGAATGATCATTTCATTTCTGCTAAAAAGTTTCACTTTACAAAGACCATAAATACTATTGTGATCCTCAGAATTTATGTTTTTAATTATGGGGTGGCAATAGCAATCTTGAAGATTATTGCAATGCCCCCCAATTTTTTTTTTCCTGAAAAAAGCACTGTTCATTTTTTTATATAACTAAGAGAGTTACTTTAAAACAACTTCAACAAATTTGAGGAGGGTTTGGACACATGAAATATTTTAAAATTCTAAGCCTGAATTTGTCTTATAAAGTTTCATGGGAATAACTTCACATAGCTGTGACTAAAGGTGTTCAAGAATTGCATGGACCTAYCCTCTAATCCACGCAAACAGATGAAAATCTTATAAGCTTCCTTTTAATGCAGSAAATTTGCAAGTAAACAGTTAAAAATCCAAGATACAGTATCACAAGATACACCTACTCCTCTCCAAATGACTACAGCTACCGAGATGAACTTTTCTTATGCTTTGTAGCACGCCAGCACACTATCTGATTCACGCATACTGTAAAAGCAATGGAATTTTAGTAACAARAGGTTCCATCCCCTTCCTTTTATTCTAAGACGCTGCCAGCATTTTGTTACAGCCTGACTGCAGTGAGCATCTGTCTGCTGAGATTTAGCATGCCACTGGGAGAGATATGAGCACCAGTTAATTGCACTTTTCTAGAACCTGCAGGTTAGCCAGGGTATAAATTATAGCTATTTCTGAAAGAAAAGGAACAGGGGCAATGCCTCCACCAAAAGAGATTTATTGCATTTAGTCTACTGTAAGTACAAGATGACATTAGGCCAGGACTAGCAAATGATTTTACCCTTATTAAGGGTTGACAGCAAAGCTCTTTCCGTAGCAGCCTAAAGGATTGGCAACAGTTCAGGTTTCCTCTGCCCTGTTTGTTCCCTCCAACCCTTCTCTCTCAGCCTGAGACTACTCGGAGTTGTTGTTACGCTCACTGAAGCCACCAGATGCAAGAACTGCTGAGCTTGATCAATTCAGAGCCTAATCTGTGTTTTAAAAATGGCAGCCTTTTAATACTCCACAAACTCCTAAAAAAGATCTCATTGATATTCCTGAAAAAGAAGCAAGCATAAGCAGGATAACTTCTATTGTTATCTATTGAATTCTACAGCCAGAATACATTATCTCATATGAAAAGATATGATTCTTGAACAGGAACCTTGTAATTATTCGGGCTATTTAAATATAGTCATTATGCGCAGATATGACCAATCTTCTTCCTATAGATAGTAACTCCTGTGAGCTTGAACAAAAACTGAAGTGTTAGCMGATCAGGGAGACCCAGACTCAAAAAAAGAGAAGTGTGGTGTGTTACTGCTCCTTTACAGAGTCGGGTTCCAACGTCATTAACTCACGAGACATCTCCCTTTCCCTAATTGTAACCAACCGCCGCTGCTTAAAATTGAAGGTACTGAAGCAGGACAAATCTGCTCCGTGACCTGGCACCACGTCTGAAAATCTGCCACGTGCTGGCGAGACCAGCGTGGTGAACAGCGGTCACCGATGGCCGGGGGCAGTGTGTGCCCTGCGGCTCTCCGTGTGCTTCCCTGCGCCACTCACTTCATTTCTGTTCACAGAGAAACACACTCCGGAGCATCRCAAGGGATCACAGTAGCCCATTTATTGCCCATTTACCCTCCCCGTGAGCGGATGTCGATGCTCAGGCCTAGGGACACAGCGTCCCAACTCGACTTAGCCATGATGGGACAACCAGGCCACGCTGTGYGGTTTTTCCCGTCTGGAGCACTCTCTCTCATTCCATGCTGTCAGGCTCAGACCAAAAGGTAGACACTAAAAATCCCATTCCTAATACCATTACTTGTGAGGATGCAGACACCTGCATGAAGGGTGGCATGCTAGCAGTTGCTGACTTACAGAAAAGAAAATGCCAATTGATTTGTGGCTTAAGAATTGCATTATAGTGGGAATATCGTAATGAAATCTTGAGGGGAAAAAAAAGGAAGGGCAAAACGAAAGAGAGGAAAAATATTCACTAGATATATTCTCTAGTATATTGAAGGCCTAACCTAGCAAGCTAAGCAAACACCCAATATCAAATATCAAATTCTCTTTTCTCAGTAGGTAAGGTGTTTTATACTTTTGGGTTTTGTTTTTTCCAAAGTTACAACTATCTGAAGGGAAGAAACAACAAGAAGTTCTTTTTCACCCTGCAGAGCAGCTTTTCACAGAAGATAAGTTAGCCCTCCAGAAGATTATTTGGACATTTGACAGCTATTGCCACCATCGTATTTTCTGAGTTACAGTCTCCTCTCCTCTTTTTTCTTTCTTTCTTCTTTTCAGACTGGAACTGTATGTAGATTCCAGATGTACTACAAAGCTCCTTGCCATAGAGAAGCAGTTTAATCTAAACACAGCTTGAGGGCTTTCCTTACCCCCTTGAATTTTGTTTCTTTTTAAAAGAAAAAATGTGCTCCCTTCCCTTTCCTTGCAATGAAAGTGTGCCTTGCAGTCTCTGTGAAAATTGGATACTTTTGTGGCCCAACAGATAATGATGATGCAGCGACTACTCTTCATCCCCCAGCTCAGAGCAATGTTTCAGGTCAACAGCTGGCATCCAAGCGCAAACCAAGT